GAAGGAAATTGGTGCCGAGGGCATGTGATTGGATGGAGTTGTGAAAACAGATTTTCGCGAGGTCTTCTCATGCGAGATACATGTGCTCAACACTCTCCTCCCTCTCTGTTCTTCTCGACCGGCCGAGTTATCTCATTACTCAATTCAGTGATCTACAGTTGCGTTATCAAGTGAAGTGTGGGGTAATCAAATTGCCTTTGTCTAAAACTTGCACTCTTTGCCATTGTCGAGTGGTAGACTTCCTAGCGAACCGTTTTTGGTCTCGAAATTGTCACTGACAATGAACGATGAGTGGAGCTTTTTGTGTTATGATCGAGCCTTTGGAGAAGTTCACGCGAGAACGAAACATTTGTAGATGTGCATTTGTTTGGTTGGGTGATGATGATCGTTGAAGCTTATGCTCATGTTCAATTGGTCGCGGTATCAGAGTGACTCGCAAAATCTTTTGAAAACGGGCATCTCTAGAATTTGTATAAGTCTCCTCCAGTCAAGACTTTCCTCCTTTAAATTTAAGTGACATGATTGGATTTATCAAGTTAATCTTACTTTGTAAGGAAAACCAAAGCGTGATGCGAGAATCCTTGTTTGCCCTTTATGAATGAGGAGGGATAACAGGGTAAGAGGGGAAAGAGTGAACTGGTCATAGAAGAAAATCGGCCCAGCTTATGTGCAACCCCTATAGCCCTCTTACTTTCTGTGTAGTAGATGGGCAAAAAACAATCACTGTTGAGGAAGGTTGCTCACATACTGGCTAAGTATCTACTGGACAGGGGCTAGTTCAATGCCCAGGCGTGATCGATCACTCACAGAGTGCTCAGAGTACCTGCCGAATGTGGAYCGTCATCARCAAATACCGTACCCTGTCGTAGTGATAATCCCGCACGGCTGCTCTCAGTCTCGATCATAAGCTAGCTCTACCTCCAACAACTTTCTGTGCGGAACACAAAAGGGACTCCTATTTATAATGCCTCACGTCTATGCAAGGGGCGAAGACATTAGTGATAGCTTGGTAAACCTCTCACATGATTGCAGAGTACTGGACTGGCATTGAAATCATACGCAGGCCTGTCTTACGGAGTGCTGATGGTCCGTACTCATATCCATTGTCATGAGTATGAGACTAAACCTATGAGCGAGGCCTTTCCGTGAAATGCGAATAGGCATCGAATCAGGGTAAAGGCCGCTATGTTATTAGTTTGTGCATTGCCCCGTTTCGTTCGGAGAGAATTATCTGTCGTCAATAGTTCTCTGTCATACTGTATTGATGGGGGTCGGCAGTCCGACGTTGCGCATGAATGATTGTAGCCTTGATAATTCTTCATACCTCAATTCAATGTCAAAGTCGTCAGTGGCGTTCTAAGTCGAAGTAACGGGGGTCTTTGATTACATTAAAAGGGGGTCTGCGATGAGTGACTGATCGAGAGCGAGTGGCTTCGCTTGAGCGTCCTGCTACATTTCTTCATCTATACTCCATATGCTACCCCTAGAAAAGTCTATGTGCAGTACTATTAGAAGTAAGAGAAAAGGGAATGGTYTCATCGGCACAGCCCCGTGATAGCATGCCACTCTTATCTGTATACTATCATGAGCAGTTTGAGTGATTATTGAGGATAACGAGCATTGCGCAATCACTGTGCTCAGAGTAGCTCCMGAACTGAGCATGGTGGTATTTGTGTGAAGTATACGGTGGAAAGCGTGCAATCTCAGTTGAATTGAAGCAGGGAACAGAGAAYGGACAAAGAGAGAAACGACCTAACGAGATTGTTAATTGCTCCCTTTGCCCCTCAACTCAAAGGAGATAGAGAGAAACATGGGAGATGCTGAGAGACTAGTAGTTAAAGGCACTATCAGACGGGATAAACAGAAGGGGTGGGAAGAAGACGCATGCAAAGATATGGAAACTCACACATTAACCCAGAGGGAATTTGCAGTCAGAACTGTCGGGGAGAAAAGATATATTGAGTATGTAATCTACTTCTACGGGCATGACAACAGGCTGCACAGTACCAACTCACTGTTAGAGTCAGTGGAGCAGGCCAAAGCAAAGCTTGAACAGGCATAGGGGTGTCCGAAACTCCTGCTTGAGTCCATCACACACTTCTCAGTAAACCAAAACTCCCCAGTCATTTGTTCCCCTTCCCAACATTTCTCTACTACATGATCAATGTTCGGGGACCTTTTCGGCTTGACAATATTCAGACAATATTCAGACAATATTCAGACAATATTCAGACAATATTCGGACAAGATTCGGACAAGATTCAGATAGCATTCCGACAATATTCAGACAATACTCAGACAATATTCGGACAATATTCAGACAGCATTCCGATAATATTCAGACAATATTCAGACAATATTCGGACAAGGTTCAGACAGCATTCCGACAATATTCAGACAATACTTAGACGACATTCAGACAAGATTCAGAAAGCATTCAGCCGGTACTCGGGTAGGCATTCAGTCAAGAGTTAATTGACAGCTCTCAGCTCAGGCGACTCGAGATCTATAGCCAGAAACGATCAGTACAGAGTTAATTCGTTACTCTACATCAGTAATCGGTCTCAATGCCCATTACAACATATGAGTACCGTCCATACTCTTTTAGTTGCTGGGTCAGTTTTGACCAATCTTAATCAGATCGCACTCAAGGATGCATTTCAGTATCAGTATGTCGGTGCGGTCGGTTTCAGGCAAGAGGACCTATCCATCTATGTGGTTCACACTGAGTTCACCGGCAGTATCATTCATGACCTGAGACCCTACGTGAGGAAAGGCAAAGAGACTCACGAGCACTTTGACACAGTCTGGACAGTGGCAGGCATATATCTTGAGGAGAGGGAAAATGAGCTTGATGGGAATGGTACAAAGCTGATCCGCAACTTTGGACCAAAGCTCTACTCAGACTATCCTAGGCCTCATATACCTTTGATTCTGACAGACAGTTCTTACTGGGGTGACCTGGTGGACCTGGCAAAGAGATACATTTCACCTGCAGTGATCGACTACGAGGCAGTTACCGAGCCCTCAGAGTTCCCACATCTCAGATGAGGAATTTTCTCTCAGCTATCTTCCTATGCTATAGGAGGAGTTTTGTGCCATGGTTGACTTCCGTATCATGGGCCTTGGATGGAAATGCTCGGAGTTAGTAGGCTTCAAGTGGCTCTACGTCCAGAGACCACAGCCTCAGAGAGTACGGAGGCATGGTCGAAAACACAAGGAATAAACAACTAAATGAGAGATTGTGAGTGTGACCCAAAGGGATGAGTGAGGACTCGAGATTAGTGTTGGCTATGCTCTCTTTCACGTGTACTATCTGAGACTATTATGAGTTCTCATTCTTCCCTCATTCGACCTTGTCAGTCAGTCTTGCTTCTTTGCATTGCTTTGCTTGATGATTGTATTCTCTAAAGACTCTGTCACAGTTATCAAAACTAGAAAGTTGGCAAAATTGATGCATACAGGACACACCATAATTCTGTGATTATTATTTGCATGATTTTCTGCTGTTCCGAATCAAAATAAAAGATTCCTAAGACCGGGGACCGGCGAAGACCGCAATTGAAGAGTCTCGCTCGAAGCCCGACGCACACAACAGGAAGGGATTTGCTTTAATTTTTTTTTTTTTATTATTGCAAGTGCATCCAAAATCCTGCGTGACAGCCTGTTGGCTTTTCCGGTCGCTTGGAGTGGCCTGACTGGAAAAAGTGCGACAGCACGCCATAGGGCCCCATAGCTGGAGTGCGCCATCCTGAAGAGGAAGTCCGCCGTAGTTGTGCTGCGGAGGAGGGTAATGTGTACCTGCACAGAGGATAACGAAGAGAGAGAGAGAGAGAGAGAGAGAGAGAGAGAGAGAGAGAGAGAGAGAGAGAGAGAGAGAGAGAGAGAGAGAGAG